ATTAGTAGCTACATAAGGTGAAGAGATGCTTACCCAAAAGGTAACTAAGGTTAAGATGGAATACAAATCCGCAGTATTTTTCGACTTACCCGTTTATTGGGCTGTTGAATGGAAATTGAGATCTATATAGGATATCACTGGGACTCACATTGGAAAGGTATTTTCTATATTATTAGGTCAAAAGCCCTTTCATTGTTCAACAAACTTGATATACAAACAGGGGCGGACCCAGAGACTTCGGACTGTGGGGTCAAAAATGAAATTTTTTTCGAACAACATATCATTAACAAAAATAAATTCATATGCTACTACAATTGTAGCCTACGCATTTTTATACTTTGAAAACGTCGTCTAATTATATCGTTATCAATATTGTCAAGTACATCGCTCTCAATATATGCAATCAAACTATCACTTAACCATTGATCTCCCATTCGATTACGTAGTCGATTCTTGACAATCTTCATTGCAGAAAATACTCTTTCTACCGTAGCAGTTGCAACTGGAAGAATTAACGCCAATGTTACAAGCCTGTAAACTAATGGGTACACCTCATGTTTTTTCATCACAACCAAGGTTTTTGCAAGAGCATTAAGGCCTTGTAACCCTTCAAAATCTTTGTGAGAGCGCATATCAATAATATATGTCTGAATTTGCTCTTCAAATGCCAAGATCTCTATTGGTTTAAAATCTTTGGGATAATACTCACACAATTGAATTAACTTATCCTTGTTCAAAGCAGAGAATGAATTATCCGGACACAAGCATGCAACACAAAGGAGTAAGTCACTATTTACCTTAGAGAAACGATCATTCAACTCTTGAATTTGCATATCGATGATAGCATAGAAGAAATCCACACGAAAATGATGTAGATTTGTAATTTCTTGAGTGTTACGCCATGAACGGCCTAGAGGTATAAACATATCGTCCATATTGGGAACATCAATATTGTATCTTTCGCAAAAGCAAGAAACTGTTCTTAAAAATGATTCACATTCATTGTCCCTCATTGTTTGAAGTTGTTCTTTACTTATTTTCACTAATTTCATAGCGTTGACAATATCTTCATCTCTTCTTTGTAATGATTCTGAAAATTCATATGAAATACCCAATACCTTTTTCATGAGATGCAAACTGAATACAAAATCAAATGTCAACATAGATCCCAACAAAATACGTGCTTCCCCTCGCTTTCCACAACTAGTATCATTAGTGGCAATCATCTCAACGACATCAACTGTAGCAGAAAACACGATAATCAAGTTAAGTAAAGAATTATAGTGAGAGCCCCAACGAGTATCACCAGGTCGCTTAAGAGTAGTTTCTTGATTAAGGCTCTTTCCACTTGAGATTTCAAAAAGATTTAATGATTCAACAACTTCAAGCCTCTTCTTCTCTCGAAGAAGAT